TGGGGTCAACCTGGGTCTGATCTCTGCCACCACATATGGTCCTGTGAGCACCGTCAGGGGTGATTCCTGAGTGCAGGGCCAGGGTGAGCCCTGAATACCACGGGGTGTGGCCCCAAAACTAAAACCCAAGAGAATAGTCATATAATGTACGCATATGCCACACGTTTTCTTTACAAGATAATTTGCTAGACAGTTACTTTAAGTTGTCCCACTTTCCTCCACTACATATGTGACAAAATTCTGTCTGCCTTAAATTAAAAAAAAAAAGTCCACTGCGTACATGCATTCAAAGCTGGAGAGAGTTGGTAACAATTTACGATAAAACTTCCCAAAACATTAAAAAAAAAAAGTTTAACGTCAAAACAGCTTAAAGTCAAGCTCATTAGTCACATGGACAACTTCAGGAATTTCAGAATACCTGGGGATTTCTGAATACCTGGAGTGCCGGGGGCTAGCCTGGCTCTGTGCTCAGGGGGTCTGTGCTCTGCCAAGGATAAACCAAGGATGGCTGCATGCAAGGCTGGTGCTTCACCATTGTGCAGTTTCTCCAGCTCATGCCAAACACAGTAACAACAAAATCTCCAATGGAGACGTTACTGGGCCCGCTCGAGCAAATCGATGATCAACGGGAGGGCCTTTATTATTTATTATTTATTTAAGGGGCCGCTCAAGCAATGCTCAAAAGGACCCTATGGGGGGCTGGAGAGATAGCACAGCGGGTAGGGCGCTTGCCTTGCACGCGGCCGACCCGGGTTCGATTCCCAGCATCCCATATGGTCCCCTGAGCACTGCCACCCCTGTGCACCACCAGGTGTGACCCAAAAAGCAAAAAAAAAAAAGGGACCCTATGGCCAGTCAATTCAAAGGGCCAAAGCTGTAGTTGGAGGGGGAAGGGGAGGGGCAGAAGGGAAGGAGGGGGAAGGGGAGACTGAATGCAGAGCCGGGGTTTGAACTCAGGTCCTGGAACATGCCAAACATGTGGCCTCGGCCACTGAGGATTTCCCCCGTCTCTGCACATTCTAAAGAGCTGGAAAACGTCCTCCCTTGTTCCTACACAGCCTGGGACCCAGGCGGAAACGACACCATCCATAATCCAACTGTCATCTTTAGCATAACTTCACGTTTTTCTCCCAGACTCCTGAGAGACACATCAACTCCTCAAGAAGGTAGTAGTAGCACCAACAGGTTTCCTAAGAACCTGCCCCCAAAGCCTGTCCTAGTGACAGCAACCACCCCCAAATGCTCCTCAATCAATCCTGCTTGGGATTGACTGACCCTTCCTACCCATGTGCCACTCCTCCTGAAGCCCAATCTGACCCTTGCCGCCCACGTCTCTGCTCGTCCCGCCAGGCTTCCACTTCCCTGCAATCCAGCCTTTTCTGGGCTCTTTCCACACAATTTCATCTTTGTTCTAAGTGTGAACATCTTCCCAAGCTCCTTGTTGTGTTATCTTCCCTTTTCAGGCCAGCCAGACACCTCCGAGGCCAAAGGGAAAAGGGAGTGAGGCTTGACGTGAAGCCGATGCCAGGATGCTCGATCCTTGGCTCACACTGGTCGTCCCCAGAGTGGCAAGAGGTCCGTCCTGAACACTCCTGAGCAGGGTGGAGCGCAAACCCCCAACCCGAGCCACCCCGAATTGAACATTCTGTAAATAACAAATGTGTTGTCTGGAGAGAGAGAGAGAGAGAGAGAGAGAGAGAGAGAGAGAGAGAGAGAGAGAGAGAGAGAGAGAGAGAGAGAGAGCGCGCGCACAGGGTCAGGGCATTGGTATAGGGTGCAACCAACCTCACCTGACCCCCGGCACAGTGACCCCTGAGCACTGCTGGGGCAACCCCTGAGCTGGGAGCCACGAGCAGCCTTTGAGCACCACTAGAGCTGGACCTATAGCATAGCGGGTAGGGCATTTGCCTTGCACGCGGCCGGCATGGCTGACCCAGGTTCGATTCCTCCGCCCCTCTTGGAGAGCCCCGTAAGCTACCAAGAGTATCTCGCCTGCATGGCAAAGGCTGGCAAGCTCCCCGTGACGTATTCGATATGCCAAACACAGTGACAAGAAGTCTCACAATGGAGACGTTACTGGGCCCGCTTGAGCAAATCGATGAACAACGGGAGGACAGCTACAGCTACAGGTTTGGGTCAAGCACTCCCTCTGCTCCTTCGAAACTGACGTCTCCAGCCCTGAGCCGCCCATCACCCCTAGGTCCACCCACCTCTCTCTTCTGGAAACTAACACATCCAGTTTACCCAGCATCTGGCGATTTTTGCTTTCCCCTTGACCCAAAGTTGGGTTGAAATGTGCCTCCCAGTGGGCCCCTCTTTGCTCTTCCTCTGATTTCTCCAGCTTGGTCCCACGGGCGTTTTCTGAACGACCGGCCCTTTCTCACACTGCTCCCCACCCCCACTAGGCTCACTCTGGGCCCCTCATCCTCTGCAGTGGCAGCGACTAGCTGTGCTCTGATTTCTACGTGGTAGCACCTCTGTCCCTCCTCAGACGCCTTCACCGACTGCTGCCAGGGTCTCTGTAGAACCAAACCTGCGGCTTCTCTGCTAGCCCCTTCCCCAGACTCACCTCACCCCATCCAAAGGAACCGTTTAGGGTCCTGTTTGGGTTTAGACCCACACTGGGCTGTGCTCGGGGCTTACTCCTGGCTCTGCACTCAAGGATCACTCCTAGCTGGGCTCAGGGGACCATATGCAGTGCCGGAGATGGAACTCGGGTGGGCCGCATGCCAGGTTTACCCATCGGACTATGGTACAACGCTCAGGGGCCTGGCCTCTCCAGCCAATCTCTATTCCCAGTGCCTAGAACACAGTCTCAGGAGAGTCCCACAAGCCCTGTGTTTATAAATGTCCTTCCCCAACACCTGTCCACCCGCTAAGTCCTCCTAGTGGAACACTTTTCACACACAGTATAAATCTTCAGGCCCCAAACAAGGAGAATGCCACGTTAAACACCACCACTGTAAAAAGAACTACAAAATGGCACGGCAGTGTACCATAAACAGCAGAATATAATACACTTCCTCCATGCCTCACATTAATTCCCCCAAAGGGTTGCCTTTATGCAACTTGAAACAGAAAAAAAAAAAAAAAGCACTGAAAGAACTTAAATGGACCAAATAGTCTGCAGTCCCCGGCTTCCAAACTGGTTTAAAATAGCCCCTGACCTGGAAATCCAGGTACACTCACATATACAGTCTGATAAGGACACGCAGAGGATACGCCTCAATGTCTTACAAGATCTGTAAGATCTCTTTGTGGTAACTCGAAGAGGCAGAGCAATATTTTGCACCCAGTTTGAAAGACCTCAACCTTCTCTAAGAAATGCGAACAGAACACTTCACCTGTCACCAGGCTTACTCTCAGAAAACAAAAGCCAGCGAGCGAGCTATGTATTCGTGACAAACAATGGCACAGTGTTAATAAACAATCAGTGAGGTAACCCAGTCACAGAGAGCAAGTCAAACCAAACCACGGGCAGTACTTTGCATTTCAAACATACTCAGATGTTCAGAAACTAAATTAATTCAAAAGTTGGGTTATACATGGCTTCCTGGACATATTTTCTCCTATTAAAAGCTTGTTAGCTCCTTTGAGTTAAGGAAGCCAACTTGGAGACGTTATTTCCTTAATTCCAGACTATACCACTGCTAAAACAAAACAAATCCCAACCTAATTAATTCTATTTTCGGTCTAGTTTCCAAGGCAGTTTTTATGACTATTCTCAGCCCACCGTTTCTAGCTGCGTAATCTCAGTCTTCAGACGCTAGGAACTGTTATACTTCATGTACTTCCTGACACATATGTTTTTATCACAGACTCCGCTTTGTTCCACGTGCTAATCATGTTCCTCACCACCATCATCCCCCCAGATATTTCATTCTATTGCTTCTAAAGTTTCAGTGCTAAGATCAGTTAAAAGGATCATTTCCTGGGCCAGAGAGATACAGTACAGCAGGCAGGGCACTTGCTGGCACGCAGCTGACCCAGGTTCAAGCCCCCCAGGCCTGCCAGGTGTGACCCCCAAACCAAGAATAAGAATAAAAAGTCATGGCATGATATTCTGTGCTATTTGTTTAAACCAGTGAAACCAGTGCCTTGTAACCGATTAAATCAAGTCCATTCACATCCAGTTTTAGGCGGAACCCTTGGTAAATCAAGTAAGTGTCAGGCAGACTCCACAACCCAAAGAAAGGGAATCAGGAAACAGGTTCTCGTTCCAAAGGCCCCTGACTTGACCTTGGGCAATAATCCACGATACTTCGTCATGCAAACAGCGATTATCAGCTACAACAACAAAAAAAAAAAAAAAAAAAAAAAGAAAGAAAGAAAGAAAAGAAAGAAGAAGGAAAAAAAAGAAACCACCAAACCAAAACTTCCAGGAATAACCTAAGCGCCTCAATCACCTACAATAAACTTTTATAAACCTGGGCTGTAAAGCAATCTCGTCTCTGACCTACTACCTTAAACCGTCCAGTCCTAAAGGTTAGCAACTGCGTGTAAAGTTGTTTAGGTTTGGGGTATTATTTTTTTCCCCCCTTCAATTTTTCTATTTCCACCGCTGCTCCCACCAAAAGCACGAACACTGATCTAAGCAGAGCGGTGGGCTGCATCTACTTTTCTCTTCTTCAACGTAAGATACGGAGGGAAAATAAAATAAAAATAATAATAAGTCCTCCGGAGATGAACGATGCGGGTGCGCGGCGGGCTAGGTCGCTCCGGCGTGTCACGTGGGGGACAGTCTCGGACCCGCATCACCTCCACGCCGGGTGGACGCCCGGGGCCGGGGTCCAGTGGGCGGGGCGGCGGGCGCGGGGGTGGGGGTCCCCCGTCTTAAGTTCGGGCCGGAGCTAAGTTGGCGGCTGCGTGGGGCCGATCGCGGGGCGCAGAGCTACGGCGGCGGCCGTGGGAGACGCGGGCGCGACCGGGCCGGGTCCCGGGGAGCGGCCGGGCGCGGGCAGGACCCCCGACCCCACGCCCCCCGACCCCCGCTTACTTACTTTGTCGCTGGTGCTCTCGGTTTCGTGGTCGCCGCCCGCCGCCTCGCCCTCGCGGGGCGGAGCGGGGGGTCCCCCGGGCCCGGGGCAGCCTCCGCGGTGCCGCAGCTCCAGCATGTCCCGCTCCCGCGCGGAGCCCCCAAAACCCACCCACCCACCCCCCCAAAAAAAAAACCGAGCTGCGCGCGGGGTCCCGGCGCCCCGCCGGCCGCGCACTCCCCGTCGGGCACCGGCGCCGCCCGCCGGGTCACCCCCAAAACGGCATCAACGAGCGGGCGCTCGAGGCCGCCTGCAGCGCGCCGGGAGCCGGGCGGGCGGGCGCGGCGGGGCGGAGGGGGCGCGGGCCGCCCGTTGCCAGGTGCGCGGCTCCACGCACAGGCCCAGGTAGGAGGCGGCGCGAGTGGCGGGGGCGCAGCGCGGGGCGCCCCTCCGCCCCCTCCGCCCCGCCGCCCCGCCTCCCGAGTCGCCGGGTCGCCGCCCCGCCCCGCCCCGCCCCGCCTGCCGCACACCTCGCGCCCCGCGCCCGGTCACGCGCCGCCGACCCCGCCCCCGCCCCGCCCCCGCCCCGCCCCCCACTCGGCCCTCGCGCTGCGCCACGGGGCCGAGGCCACGCCCCAGACACGCCCCTGCCCCGCCCCTCGCGCTGCACCGCGAGCCCGGAGCCCCCGCCCTCGCCACGCCCCCTCGCCACGCCCCTCGCGCTGCAGTGCGGCTCCGCGGGCCCCGCCCCCGTGACGTCACAGGCCGGCCCCGCCCCGCAGGCAGGAGCGCGTACACGCACAGACTTACACATACACGCGCGCGCGCGCACATACACACTCGCACGCGCGCACACACACACACGCGCGCGGGCGCGCATACACACAAATGCACACACACACGCGCGCGCGCACACACACGCACACGCACACGCACACACGCACGCACACACAGCCGGAGCCGCCCTTTCCCCGGGCCCGGCGCCGCGGCTGGACGCTCCGGGGCGCGTGGGAGACTCCGCGGCGTCCCGCGGCAGAAACTTGTCGGGCAGGAAGGACTCGTTGTGCACTTGGCGGCGGTCGAAGCCGCTGTCACGGCCCGGAATGCAGGGAGGGCGGGCGGCTGCCTCGCGCGGGCCAGCGCCGTGCCCAGCCCGCCCCGGTGCCCAGCCCCGGTGCCCAGTCCCCGTGCCCAGCCCGCCTGGAGCTCGGGCCGGTCGTGCATCGCGCCGGGTCTTGCACCGGCCCGAGCTGCAGCGCCGGCCGCACGGCAGCGGGAAGAGCCCGGGAGCTGCAGGCGTTAATTCCCGTTCCAAATCCTGTTAGGAGAAAGCGCTTAGTTTTGTTGACGCGTGTCCACCACCTGGTCTGGACGAGCTAACAGAGAAAAAGTGGGGGCGGGGACCGAGAGGACGCGGACGGGACGACGGGACTGAAGGTCCCAAGGTCACGGCCTGCACTTGCCCGGCGTTCCGCGAATGCCATAGCCAGAGCAACCTAAAGCAAAAAAACGTCCCAAGGAGGAGGCGGTGCAATGCAGAGCGTCAGAGCGCGGCTCACTTCGCACGGAACACTTCTTGGAAGCTGCGGATGCTATTTGGGTCACCGCCACATTTTCAAAGTAGAGGGGAAAAAAAATTAAAGAAAAATAAAACCAATCAATATCTTAGGGAGTAAGAACAAAATCTATGCAAGGAGGCAAGACGGGGTGATTGATTGCCACCGTGTGATGAGAGTGGGGGACTAGCTTGACCAGCTTTGCGTTCCCTTGGAGGACCCGACTGGAAACTGCCTGGTTGTCAAGGGCAGAGGGTTGAAAAGGCTCCTGACGGCAGCATTGGCTCTGGATCCCTCGCTCGAATGCAGAAATGACCATAAGCATGCACCATCGCGCCGTTCTGACCTCGGCGAGCATGAGTGCGTTGCTGCCTCTCAGCCCCCACTAAGGTACTACTAAGGTACTGCCTTCCATCAGTCATTGTGCCCCAGTGCCCCCAGCTAAAAAACGGACCAAGAGTAGTTGTCCGCGGTGGTCCTCCGCGGTGGTCCTGTGCCTCACACGGGATTCTGCCGCATCCGGTCCTTCTTGGTCCCTATGCATCAAGATAAGGGTCTGAGCAGAGCAGATGCCTGATGACTCCCTCCTGCTCCTTTCCCTGACTCCAGGGTTTCTCAGCCCTGTGGACCCCCAAGTGAAAGTTGTGTAAATGGGAGGACCACAGCAGGAGACAGGGGGCCAACCAGCAAGACAGGGAGCCACTAGAAGGAAATCGGTGAAAGGAGGGACACAGGCAGGAGAAGGCTGAAGAATATTCCTGAATCAGTCCAATAGCACCTTTGTTTTTTGTTTTTTTTTTGGGGGGGGGGGGTGACACCCGGCAATGCTCAGGGGTTGCTCCTGGCTCTGCACTCAGGAATCACTCCTGGTAATGCTCAGGGGACCATATGGGATGCTGGGAATGGAACCCGGGTCAGACACATGCAAGACAAACGCACTACCAGAGGTGCTATTGTTCCAGTCCCTGATTTTTTTTTTTCTGCCTTTGCTTCAGGGAGAGAAAAGCTGGTGAGTGAGAGGCAGGAGGGACAAGTGATAGAAAGCAGTGTCCCCGACCTGGGACACTGGGCTTGCTGCAGGGACTGCCAAAAGATTGGTTTTTACACCATCAGCTTCCTTAGAATCCGAGATTTCCTGTGCCCTTTCTGTCTCCTCCATGTCTGTCTTTGTGGCTGGGCGAATGGTTCCACAATTGGTTCATCTACACAAGACACTCCTTGAACAGTCCACATGTTAGCTGAAGAGGCCTGTGAAGAACTGGATGAAAGGCCAAGGTGTCAAACAGCCAGGAACAGAGAGAGCATTTGTGGTTCTTTACTAGAGAGGTTCAGATTACACTTAGGTAGGTACTCACTTGTCCTCATTTTTGACTTCCTGTGATAAGGAAATTGCTTTTGGGGCCAGGGGTGTGTGTGTCCAGCAATGTTCGGGACTTACTCCATGCTCTGCACTCAGGGATCACTCCTGAAGGAGCTCGGGAGATCATACACAGTACCAGGAATTGGACCTGGGATGGCCGTACCCACTTTACGAAGGAGAGACTGATTTTAATATGTCTTAGAGTATGGTTTGAAGGAGTACTAAGGGGTTCTAGTAATAACTGGTAAATCTGGGGAGTTTCCAAGTGGTGCTTACATAGTCTGGGGGTCCCACCAGGCTGTCGGTTCAGCACGGGGCCTGAAGATCTGATGCTACTCAGACGCGCAGTGCTGAGCTCAGGTCCCCAGGACACACTGGGGGTGCTGGGGTTTCCCAGGCTGCATCCGGTGATGTTCGGGAGACCTTATGGTTCTGGGAATGGAATCCAGGTCATGTATCTATTAGACACGCACCTAACCATTCCCTGCACATTCCTTCACCACTACCTGTCTCATAATTTGCACATTTTACTTATTATGAGTTAATCGGGATCAGAAAGATAATACAGTGACTGAGGCTACTGCCTTGGCTGCAGGCTGACTCTGTTCCGATCCCGAGTACCACACGTGATCCCCCGAGCCCCACCAGTAGTGACCCCTAAGCAAAGATCCCGAGCAATCTCCGAGTACCACCAGATATGACACAAAACAAACAAAACAAAAATATGAGTTAGCTATCCATAGCTAACCTTACTTAATCTCCTCAGACTTTCCTACTATTTTTTTCCTTTTTTTTTTTTATTCTTTCCTTTTCCTTCATTCCGGGACTTGTGTTTGGTGACACAAGTGAAAAGGCCGCATCTTTTAGTTCTACTGAAGTTTTATCTTCTAAAGGATGTCTCCTATAAATCCCCAGCACACAGGAGACACTCACCAATTCTTTCCTGGTTTCTGAGTGGCCATGCTTATCCTTCGTGCTATTGGAATACCGTGTAATTCTAGTGATTGGCTGGGGGGAGCGGTAAGGGAAAGTATTAACATTATTATTTCTATGGCCCTCATTTCTTAGTTTACTGTTGTAAAACCTCTTTCTGAAGATGGAGAGGACTTGCTTACAGCAATGAGAATCTGAGTCAGAGAAACCAGCTATCACTGTCTCCCTGAGTCCCCTCAGAATGCGTCCGGACTGATAATCAATCCCCTCTTTGTTTCTTTCTTTTTTTTTTTATTACAGTTGTAAGGTAAGGTAAGGTAAAGGCCCTCCCGTTGATCGTCGATTTGCTCAAGCGGGCCCAGTAACGTCTCCATTGGAGACTTTGTTGTTACTGTGTCTGGCATATCGAATACTCTCGGTAGCTTGCCGGGCTCTCCGAGAGGGGCGGAGGAATCGAACTCGGGTCGGCCATGTTGGCCGCTTGTAAGGCGAACGCCCTACCCGCTGTGCTACAGTTGTAGATTTACAATTTTTTGTGCTTGGGTTTCGATTACACAATGATCAGATACCCATCCCTCCACCAGTGCTCATTTTCCACCACCATGGATAATATCCCCCCACCCCCACCCCCCATCCCCCCCTGCCTCTGTGGCAGGGCAATCCCCTGTGTTCTCTCTCTCCTTTTGGGTGTTGTGGTCTGCATTGAGTGGCAAACATGTTCAGTCCATAGTCTACTTTCGACATGCATCTCCCCTCCTGGGAGGATCCTCCAAACACCCTTTATTTGGTGCTCCCTTCTCTATCTGAACTGCCCTTTCCTCTAGGATACCCGGCTGGCCTCTAAGTTATGGAGTAATCCTCCTGGTGCTGATCTCAGCTATTCTTGGGTATCAATCCCCTCTTGTGTGGAAATCTGAGCAAGTTTTGACATCGCAGGCTCCAAGGCGCCTGGCTAGAATGTCCCCAGCCTGCCAGGGGGAAAAGAAATCATCCTCAGTGGCCAAATGTCCCGTCACTTGGGCGCCCACATTATAGTTTTGTCACTTGACCTGTCTTTCTCTGCTGCCTTCTATCAGATCAGATCGTGTGTCAAAGGTAGGTAGGTTATTAAACATTAATGTATTTTCAAATTACAGGCAAAAATGTAATGACTCAAAAATTTGCAACATAGAAAAAACAATCAGTTCAGTGATTTATTTATTAATTATCATTTATAAATTATTAACTTATTCACTGAATAAATTTTCCCTGTCTATACTTTTTATTATTTATTTTGATTTTTGAGTCACACCCAGCAATGCACAGGGGTTAGTCCTGGC